GGGGGGGGGGGGGGGGGGGGGGGCTTTAAACCTGACCATACTAGTTCTCTAATTAGTGGGTATAGCAAGAGAGTATAGGATTCAATCGTACACTTCTCACTTAAAATGCCCGGATACAAGGCTTATATGCAAAAACCAGGAAGGAGATCATGCTGAACAGCTCCTCAAAGAAATGGTTAGCATAGGCATTACTCCTGATGATAGCACCTCTTTATCTTTGATTTAGGGGATAGGGAATGCTGAGGAATTTTTGGGAAGAAGTAGTTCATGGTTAATTTCTTTTGACAACAGCATTTAAATCCTTGCCAGTCACCACTGACACAGTTTTACACAAATATTCTTCTTTTTTTCCATGGAGGCAAGTTCTTGTCTGTCAGATTTTGATGATGCTGGTTATGGAATTTTCAAGGCTTCGTTTAGGAAACCTTTTTTTGTTTTCCTAATTTGTTTGTTTTATTATACGAGAATCTGAATAGGTCTCATAAAGAATAAACTACTTCAGCTTGGAGGTTGGACAGTTAAATTTACATATTATCTGTGAATATGTAAGAACCTATGCTGTTGTCTGATTTTGAATTTAAAGCAGTTGGGATTGCAAGTGATGTTGAGCCTGCTTTAAACAGAGCATAATGATTTACCATGCCATATGTATCTTGGCAAATATTATGTGAAACATGCAGATATTCCTGTTCTTAAAACATCCTAGGGATGCAATTTGGCTTTTCTTCCTCTGTTGCCCTTTCTAGTTACAATTTTTATACCATTATATAAGATAGGCATATTAACAGTCTCAGTATACTAAATTGTTTCAGCAATTTTTAGTTGGCATGAAATTTGATGTTGTGCTGGTTGTTTTTTCTTTCTTTCTGGACTGGTGTTTTTTCTTCTCCTTTTCTCGCCCATTGATTTTGAGCTGAAGTTGGCGAAAGCTGTAGAACTCAGCAGAAATGACTGTGATTGATTCAGCGTCATGTTCTTCAGAACGAACACGCAAGCTTGATCATGCATCTAGGGTTTTGCATCATTTTTTTGGCTTGCAAAACGGGTCTTCTTTTGGGACCTTTTTTCCCACCGAGACATCAAAGGTTATCCTGTCTATAATCCTACCTTGGTTCGATATTATCAAAAAAGTTACAAGGTAAAAAATTAGCACTCTGAAGTGTTAACTAAAAAAGTTGCGTCTTCCTTTCATTATACACTAGCTATGGCCCATGCTACGTCATTGGCATTCAAGTTATGAGAGTTATTTTAGTGGTCGATGAGTCAGCGATGAAATCTCATGGACAGTCTTCTTGTTTATATTCAACCAAATAAAATAAAATATTATTCATTTCATACTTATATTTAATTAATGTAATTTAAAAACATCTTAGAAAAACTAAATTTAATAAAGAAATAAAGAAAAACCCTGAATAACTTGGTTTATTTTCAAAATAAAAAAAATTAGTGGAGTCCGATTTGAAGAAGAAAATTGAAAAAACATAAGTTAAAAAAATATTATGAAGTATCTCACACTTATTTTAGTCAATGAATTTAATTTAATTATATATATACACACACAAACACAGAAAGCTAACTTTAACAAAAATAAACAACAAATAAAAAATTCAGAATTACCCAAGTTTAAAAAAATTTAAAAGGCCTCCAATAGAACTTTGAATTCCTAAATCAACAAAAAAATCATCCTACATGCAAACAAAAAAATAAATCAAAGGAGTTAGTTTTCAATTAAATAAATATTGAAGTATTTAATGGAAAGGAATTAAACTTGAGAAATTCTAAACTCAAATTTAATTAAAAAATTTAATTTCCAAAAACAGTTTAATATTAGAGAATGAATTTAGGTAAAAAAATCAATTTAAAGAAATTACAAAAGTAAAAAAATAATATATATGATAAAATTTGATAGGAAGAAAAAATTTGGGAGGAAAAAATAATATTTATATTTATTAAATTATAAAATTGCCCCTAAAAAACTTGATGATAACAAAAAAAACCAAAGTGAAAACACAAAAATACCCCTAAATACAAGCTTAGGAAAATTCAACATTCAATAGCATTTAAGTTATTTTATTATTCTTAAAAAATAAAAATTCAAGAACATCTCTCAACATCAATTTTGATTTTTTTTTATTTTAAAAGCAATTTTTTTATTTTATTATTAATTAGAAATACAAAAAGATCAACTCACCCATCAACACGGATCCTTATAAAAAACCAATATTACCCTCGATATATGATTTGTTTTAAGAAGGGAAAGTTGTCTTTCTTTTTTTTTTCCGTGAATTGGTTCAGTGTTTTCCACATCTTTTATAATTTTTTATAATAATAATTATTCCTGAAAAAAAATGCTAAAAAAAAAGAAAAAGAAGAAAGAGGCACGTGTCTTGATGGATGAGAGAAAAGTTCCAGCGATTGGAAATATGATTTGACATGAAGTGGAGCTGGACTCGAATATGGACACCGTCTGCCAGATCTCCACCGCAAAAGGAAGGTAATATACCTGGAATCTTTCTTACTTTGTCATTGTTCAATTTAATGAGGCCAACAAGAGAACCAGTTATCGAACAAGTGGAGACATCTCATTTGCTTCTCTTGCATGTTGGATGACACGTCACTATCCACAACATGAAGATAGGTTCATCGTGTGGCCTTCGCAGCCCTGACGAGTCACGCTTTTTTTCTTTTGTTTTTTTTTTATTATTTATGTGGATGCATGAATTAGCTCTTATATATTTTAATTAATTTAATATTATATAAATTAAATTCTGAAGTTTATAAACTTCAATCCATGATTTTTAAAAAGTAAATCCAGAGAATAATCGGTTAATAAAATTAAGTAATTTTATATACCATAAAATTAATGGTTTATCTTTAATAATTCTAAAATTTATAAAATTTAAATTAATGAACTCTAAAAAACAAATCTATAACTTAATTAATTAATCTATACCTTTAAGTTTTAACGTATTTTCACTATAGAAGGATTGGTTGTTTGGTTGCATAGAAACCAAACCACGGTAATCAAATAAAGACATCACTCCTTGTTTGTTGGTTACTCTGACTTGGACATCAATGTTTGACAAAAAATTTGGTCATCAAGTCAGCAGCACATAGATTCTCTGGCTCTGTTGCTTTTCATGGTCTTGAAATAACACGATCAATCTCCTCTTTCTTTCACCGGGGACCATCGTTGCAGGTGGTGCCTTTAACTGTATTTTTGTTTGTGGAAACACATGCACCATGCACCGAACGTTTGACTAGATTGCCATAATGCACTTCGCTTACCTTCACTATCATTTGCTCGCTACTTGTGTATTTAAAGCTTTGTGTGGTATCACGATATTGAAGAGAAGTTTCCATGGGTACATTTGTAGGTCACATTGTACCTGGTTTGGCCTTAACCCTTCTCGGGTTATGGCACACCGTTAACACCATCAGAGCCTTCTGCAACAAAGGCTGCACTAAATTTACTGTAAAGTTCTGGTACCCATTTTATGGCCCCTTTTCGAGACTGAAACACTTGGAGCTCATCTTCATTCTATCTTTCTCAGTCTTGGCGATTTTTATGCAACTCTTGGACTTCCCTTTCCTTCGCTTTTCTTTTAAGCTTGATAGCTTTGAGCATGCAAGCATATTTCTCCAGCTTGCCATATTTGCAGGTTTTACTCTTTCCGCAGAGATATCTCAGTCTTCTGATATCCTTTCTGGCGTCAGTGGTATGCTTGCAGCCTTTGTTTTTGGCCAAGAGCTTTTCCTTCTGCATTTCCACTCCACTGATCATGTTGGACTCGAAGGTCATTATCATTGGCTCTTGCAGCTCATTGTGTTCGTCTCTCTTTTGGCAGCTTTAGCCGCAACTAATTTTCCAAACAGTTTTCCAGCGGCTCTTGTCCTTTCAATCTCAGTTGTCTTTCAGGGATGTTGGTTTATGAACATGGGGTTTATGCTGTGGTTTCCCGATTTTATTCCAGAGGGCTGTCTTATGCAGTTTGCTGAGGCCAGCATTGATGATATGCATGGAGCAGTCACTTGTGGATCCCTTGCCGCAGAATTAAGAGCTACAGCACTGGCGAACCTGCAATTCAGCTGGATACTTGCTGGAATTTTGTTGCTCACAGGGTGTATTTGCCTGAAATTAGCTGGAAAATGCACCCCAAGAAGCCAGTCAACAGAGTATGAGCAACTTCATATTAGAGGTGTCCCTATAGCCATTGATGGCTTCAAGCAAACTGATCCTTGAGATATTGCAGTGTATCAAATTGGGGATGTTTATGCCTGTCATGATATGAATTACCATAGCTGTTAAACTATTGTGCTTTCTGCCAGTACACTCAAGAGGTATTCCTGTCCCTTAATTATCAGGATGCTTTGATATAAAAACCTCGTGAAGCCAAGTGAGATTGACAGCGTGTGACTTCTATTAACCGAGAGTTAGGCCAGCAGTTCTATCGTGTAATAAAGTTGATGTACCTTCTGGAATGGAAATAAGGCCCTCCTTGATGAGTAATTTATATTCTGATCACAAACTACCGAGAATATGTTTCCGTCACTGTATTGCATTATGCAGTGCTCTCTGTTAACTGGTTTCTCATTGATAGTATAAATCTATTTTGATATAACGTTTAAGAACATAAATTTTCTGATTGATTTTATTTTTTAGTACGGTGTTAGAATTTTAATAACTAAATAGTCACAAGTTTCAAACTTATTATTTTTATTAATTTAATAAAAATTAAGTGCAAGATAATATAAACTTGTTCAAGTTTTGTTTATTTTTATATTTAAAAAAATTATTTTTTATTTTAAATTAATTTTTTATTTTTTTTAAATTATTTCAATGCATTAATGTTAAAAATAATTATTTTAATATATTTAAAATAAAAAATACTTTAAAAATAACTATAATTATATTTATAAACACAGTCAAATTCATTTTGTTCTCCTTGTGTGTGTGTATATATATATATTATTTATTTATTGTATTTAGATTTTATTTTAAAAAAGTAACATTATTTTTTACTTGATGAGAAAAATAAATAATTATTTTAAAAACTAAACAGGTTAAAAAAAACTGAAAATAACTAAAATAATGTAAAAACATTAAAAATATATTTTTTTGAAAAATGTTGAAAAATAAAATAGCAGAGAAAATAAATCATACATTATTACAAACGACGAAATAAAAATCTGACTATAAGATCAGTTTAACATTGGCAATAAAAATTAAAACACTTCCTGCCTTTATCTTCTTTTTTTTTTTTTGTTCCTGCCTTTATTCTACCTTTATTTTACACCTTTTTATAAAGGATTCTACAATGATCTCCTTGTGCTTGCTGCTTAGAATTCGTAAGCGATGGAAGGTAACCTTGGCCTGAGGACAACCTCCAATGGTGTTGCTTTGGGGACTGTCAATCCAGGGCTTTCAGTCATATCGACTGGGGTATCCGAGACTGTCCTCAATTCAAACCCATGAAGAAGCCGAGCAAGTGTCAGGTGCACAACCTGGACAGCGAATGACACCGCAGGGCACATTCTTCTGCCAGACCCGAATGGTGTGAATTCGAAGTCCTGGCCCCTTACATCCAAATTGGCATGCTCTTTCAGGAACCTCTCAGGCTGAAATTCCAATGGGTTAGCCCACATGTTAGGGTCACGATGCTACTTCCAGAGGTTAACCACAAGGCGCGTGCCTGCTGGGATGTGGAAGCCAGCTACAGTGCAATCCTCCATGGCTTCCCTTGGTGCTGAGAGTGGTCCTGGTGGGTGTAGTCTGAATGTTTCCTTGACAATGGCTTGCAAATATACAAGGTTCTTTATGTCTGTCTCGGCCACTTGGCGGTGCTTTCCAACGTGGGTGTCAAGCTCACATTGAGCTTTTTTAAGCATATTTCTGTTGTTTAGTAGCAAAGCTAGTGCCCATATAATAGCTGTCGTTGTTGGGTCACTGCCACCCGCAAGAAGGCTCTGCCATAGAGATTACTTGATACTGTGAGATGGAGTAAAAAACTGATTCATATACACATACACGAAATTTATTCCTTTAATTTATTAGGATTTATATGACCATTAGAAATTACAATGTCTGCTATAGTACACTTTCTTTTTTTGATAAATACTATAATGCAAAATGCAAAAATAGGACATAAACTCTTGATGTTTTGTCTAGCTGTATGCAGTACTGCAGAAAATGAAAGACAGAGCAAGGGCCTCGAGTTAGAGACTTTCCCGAAAACTTAAATCAAATGCAGATCATCATTTACCCAAACTCCTTTCAGACATGTGAAAAAAGCAAGTTTTGCCCCAGCTCCTTGAGTAGGTTTCAGCTGCAACAGAAAACTAAACTACTTTCAATTGCAGAAATTTTCTAGATACTTACCAAGCAACTAGCCTTAACGGTTGTGTCGGCTTCATCAACAGAAATGTTACTATCATCCATGATAGAAAGCATTACATGGATGAAATCTTTCTCCTCCTCGATGATGCTTCGGTTGAGCCTGATTCTTCGATGTTCATCCACCCAGCTCCCAAGCACCCAATCTATTTCCCTTGCCGTTCTTTTCATTTTTCCTATATATCCCTTCACCAAATCCAGCCAACTAAACAATGGAACAGCATCTGAAGCCAAATTTA